TACTCAGCCATGGACTATCTGACCTTATGTCGATTATGCTCCCTTACTCAGCGTTACTCATCGCTCAGTCAGCGTCCTCTGGACGTCACATGCTCTCTTCTTATACGCTTACTCATCGTCCTCCCCAGTAGTATATAAGGAGGACTCTGCAGGCCTCTGCTCTTCAGTCGTTCTCTCACAGACTGAAGAGTAAGTCCCACACTACCTATGCTTCCTTACATGTTTACTTACTAGTACTTGTAGCCTCTCTTTGTGCGGCTTACAGGTACAGTACTATGCAATCAGAGTCGTTCTCTCACAGACTGAAGACCTCTCTTTGTGCGGCTTACAGCCTTCCAGGTTCAGAGTTCATCAGAGGGTGTATCTGTGGTGGCGGTAACTAGGCAAGAGTGAGGAGAGACAAGCGCCCGGGTAGCGCGCTGTGCTTTTCCTCCTCCTACTCCCATGTCAAAATCGACTTGTTCCTACGCGCACGCTGGCCAAACCATCAACGACTGCGAGAACCTGGATTTCTGATTGCGGAATGTAGCAACGCTACAATCAAAATACTAAATAGTCTTGATACCTACTAGTTCGCCGCCATCCACGTCGCGTGAACAGCGATCGAAAGCCGACAAGCAACGATGTTCACTTGACCCTTGCTGCTTTTCATACAGCTGCCAAGACGTGAATACAGCTTTGAAGCCTATTTTTGACTGGCTTAATGCAGGCTTGGCGATTAAACACCAACCCGAACATGCTAAAAATCGCTACCCGCCACACCACCGAAAGACCGCTTATGAAGTGACTCGGACGTCGACGGCCACGATTCCTCCGGCCTGGTCGTCCTCCCTCGCACTCACCTTACAATTCAATGTACGTGACGAGCACAAATTACGCATATCCAGCAACACCCAGATACCGCACCCCCAGATATCCCGACGCGGCTGCGCATCATTATCCGTGAGGATATATCGATCGTCACCGAGCCTCCCGCAATGAAATAGACGCTATTATACCCTCTCCCAGTGGTCCAAAGTCGTCATCGATATCTATGACCTTCCCGGAGCTCGCTTGTAAGCCCCAAGCACCCTCGCAGCAGAACAGGATAGCGCCCTCTGCCCAGAGTACTTATACTGCCAGGATCGCAAGAATTGCAAGACGCGTCTCCTCCGAAGAGTACGTGAGCTTTGAGTCTTTCCTTTGCCCCCAAAAAAGTTCTCCGCTCTCTACTCTCCGCATCCGCTGCTCCGTCTCGAGCCTATGCTGACCACATCGACCAGGGAACCCCCAATTCTTCTGTGCGTACGCAGTCATTCTGCCCGTACTACTGCTCCCGCCACGTTCCCCCTCGGCACTCATCTGCTGCCGTTACATCTCACTGCCACAGACTCGGGGCGCTGCGCGCCTTCAGCCTCGCGCAAACGTTCACTATGTGGAAAGGCGAACCGTAAGTGCTTCTCTCGCGCGCGCGAGTACCGGCTGATGCCCGTCCTTACAGGCGTCCCCGCACTATCCCAGCAAAGCGCAAGGTGCGGATACGCCTCGAATCGAGAATTTCCAGTCCATCTCATCATTGCCATAGATATCAGCGGCCAGCCAAGCCCAGGAGTCCCTCGCATCCGCTCGCGACGGGCGCATACACCAACCATCGCCCCTGAAACGCCGCTGTAAGAACTACAGCACGTTGACCCCCATCCCGCCGCCCCCGCCCCCACAAATCATCGTCATACCACCGAGCCCGCCCCCTGCGGCCGGACGTTCTGGCTCAGACTGCTGCAACTTCGATTTTGTATACTAGTACTCATGTTGTCCCAAATGGATCGCTCTTGAACGTGAACAGTGATAAGTGGTAAGAGCAATCGGACTAGTATCAGAGTTGACGCTGCCGGCCGTAAGTGGACCAACTCGCACCAACGTAGATGCAGTATACCCACGATATGTCTAGTTCTGACACCGTCGATCCGCAAGTCTTGTCCAGTCTCAAATGCAGGACGGCTCGCGCCGCACGCACGCGCAGTATCACCTCATCCGCAGGAAAAGTGCGTGGTGCCTGATCAGCCACACCCAGTCTTCGCATCCAAACGTCTTCCGCCGCCCCCACAGTGACCGCTGCATCCGACCAGGGC